CAGACGCTCGTTATCTCCGATCATCCTTTGTATCTCTATGGCTCCCGTATCCCCGAACGTGATACAGTCAGGTTTCTAGCCTTCTCTTTGACCGTCGGTTAACCTGGAAACCTCACATTACCTCTCTGAAGGCAACTTGTCACAGCCGGCTAAACCTTCTTAAAACCCTTGCTCATCTTTCCTGGGGAGCTGATCGTCGAACTCTGCTTCGCCTACATTCAGCCCTCGTTTTATCGAAACTCGATTATGGTGACCCAGTTTATTCCGCGGCCTCTCCTGCTACTCTCTCTAGCCTTAACTCTATCCATCACCAAGGCTTACGTTTGTGCCTTGGTGCTTTTCGCTCTTCCCCTGTTGAGAGCCTCTATACAGAAGCAAATGTTCCATCCTTGTCTGATCGCCGTGATGCCCATTGCCTTCGTTACTATGTACGCTCTCACGATCTACACAATCCTTCCATTTATAGAATGGTCACCGATTTTAGTAGACATTCTTTATTCGTTCGCCGCCCCTGTTTGCTCCGTCCCTTTTCTCTTCGCCTACTTTCACTCTTGTCTTCCCTTCAGTTTACCACCTTTATATGTTCATGTAGCATCTCACTTTTCCCTCCCCCCCTGGGAAGTTCCAGCTGTTCGGGTCTGTTCTTTCTCACTCCCTTGCTCGAAAGCTCAACTGCCTACGGTGGCTTCCCGCTCTCTTTTTCTTGATCACTTCCACTCTCATTCTCATGCCACCGCTGTGTACACAGATGGCTCTAAGTCTTCAGACGGCGTCGGATTCGCAGCAGTGTTTCCGGACAGCGTCGTACGAGGGCATTTACTATCTTCAGCTAGCATTTTTACTGCTGAACTGTATGCCATTCTTGCAGCACTTATTCGTATCGCATCTATGCCTGTGTCATCTTTTGTAGTAGTCTCAGACTCCCTTATGCTCTACAGGCTAAAACGAAAATTTGATACATCTCATCCCCTAGTTCTCCGTATCCAACTTTGGCTACGCCGTATCTCTACCAAACATAAAGATATTGTTTTTTGTTGGGTCCCTGGTCATGTCGACGTACAGGGCAATGAACAGGCAGACACTGCTGCGCGGTCAGCAGTATATGACCTACCAATTTCCTATCGAGGTGTTCCATTTCTAGACTATTTTGCTGCAATAGCTACCCACCTTCGCACCCGTTGGCAACAACGTTGGTCAACTCTGCTCGGTAACAAACTTCATTCTATTAAACCGAGCATAGGTTACTGGCCGTCTTCTTGTCATCAGTGCCGAGGTTGGGAGACCACTCTCTCCCGCCTTCGCATTGGCCACACTCGTCTTACTCATGGTATCTCATGGAGAGGCACCCTGTTCCTCTCTGTGAGCAGTGTCAAGTTCCAGTATCGATTAGCCACATTCTGTTAGACTGCCCTCTCTATCAACGAGCACGCAGAATTTACCTCCAACGTCGTCTTCGTTCTCCTACTCTCTCTTTACCTTCCCTTCTTGCTGAAGGACCCTCCTTTAATCCTGACTCTCTCATTGACTTCTTGACAACGACTGATTTACTCCACAAACTCTGATGATACTTTTCACACTCCCCTCAGCCCTTTCTGGTTCAGTCTCTTGCTGCCCTTTACCCTTTCACCATCCACTGCCCCGCTGTTATCCGTAACCTGTTGCTCATCCATCTCCCTTTTGCCACCTGATGCCCTCGCTTCCTTCCTGCCCTGCAGCGCTGTATAGTCCTTGTGGCTTAGCGCTTCTTTTTGATTATAATAATAATAATAATGTAGTAGTAGTGGTAGTAGTAGTAGTAGTAGCTGTAGTAGTGGTGGTAGTAGTAGTAGCTGTAGTAGTAGTGGTCGTAGTAGTAGTAGCAGCAGCTGTAGTAGTAGTAGAAAATGTAGAAATATTAGTAGTACTGTAATAGTGGTGGTGGTAGTAGTAGTAAGAGTTGTAGTAGTAATCATAGAAGTAGGAGAAGTAATGATAATGATAATAAGAAAAAAGGAGAAGTATATAGTAGTAGTATTATAATAATAATTGTTGTAATGGTCGAGGTAAAAGAATATTGTTATTACGTGACAGGAACACAACAGTACTGTGGTTATCCTTCAAGTACACAACAGTACTGTGGTTATCCTTCAAGTACACAACAGTACTGTGGTTATCCTTCAAGTACACAACAGTACTGTGGTTATCCGTCAAGTACACAACAGTACTGTGGTTATCCTTCAAGTACACAACAGTACTGTGGTTATCCGTCAAGTACACAACAGTACTGTGGTTATCCTTCAAGTACACAACAGTACTGTGGTTATCCGTCAAGTACACAACAGTACTGTGGTTATCCTTCAAGTACACAACAGTACTGTGGTTATCCTTCAAGTACATAACTGTACTGTGGTTATCCTTCAAGTACACAACAGTACTGTGGTTATCCTTCAAGTACACAACAGTACTGTGGTTATCCTTCAAGTACACAACAGTACTGTGGTTATCCGTCAAGTACACAACAGTACTGTGGTTATCCGTCAAGTACACAACAGTACTGTGGTTATCCGTCAAGTACACAACAGTACTGTGGTTATCCTTCAAGTACACAACAGTACTGTGGTTATCCTTCAAGTACACAACTGTACTGTGGTTATCCTTCAAGTACACAACAGTACTGTGGTTATCCGTCAAGTACATAACAGTACTGTGGTTATCCTTCAAGTACACAACAGTACTGTGGTTATCCGTCAAGTACATAACAGTACTGTGGTTATCCTTCAAGTACACAACTGTACTGTGGTTATCCTTCAAGTACACAACAGTACTGTGGTTATCCTTCAAGTACACAACTGTACTGTGGTTATCCTTCAAGTACACAACAGTACTGTGGTTATCCTTCAAGTACACAACTGTACTGTGGTTATCCTTCAAGTACACAACAGTACTGTGGTTATCCTTCAAGTACACAACTGTACTGTGGTTATCCTTCAAGTACACAACAGTACTGTGGTTATCCTTCAAGTACACAACAGTACTGTGGTTATCCTTCAAGTACACAACAGTACTGTGGTTATCCGTCAAGTACACAACAGTACTGTGGTTATCCTTCAAGTACACAACAGTACTGTGGTTATCCTTCAAGTACATAACTGTACTGTGGTTATCCTTCAAGTACACAACAGTACTGTGGTTATCCTTCAAGTACACAACAGTACTGTGGTTATCCGTCAAGTACATAACAGTACTGTGGTTATCCTTCAAGTACACAACAGTACTGTGGTTATCCGTCAAGTACACAACAGTACTGTGGTTATCCTTCAAGTACACAGCAGTACTGTGGTTATCCGTCAAGTACATAACAGTACTGTGGTTATCCTTCAAGTACACAACTGTACTGTGGTTATCCGTCAAGTACATAACTGTACTGTGGTTATCCTTCAAGTACATAACTGTACTGTACGACCCCCGTGTCCATGCTCCCTCTCCATAGGATGGAAAAGGCTCGTGATAGGGGCTTCTTGCAGTTCATGGAACACAGAGTTCCATGAGTCTGGCCCTGGGGCAGAGTGCATGGGCATGTCATTTATCGCCTGTTCGAAGTCATTTGGCGTCAGGATAACATCGGATAGGCTTGTGTTAATCAAATTTTGTGGCTCTCTCATAAAAAATTAATTTTGATCTTCGACTCTCAGTCTGGTTAGCGGCTTGCTAAAAACTGAGTCATATTGGGACTTGAGTAGCTCACTCATTTCCTTGCTGTCATCTGTGTAGGACCCATCTTGTTTAAGTAGGGGCCCAATACTGGACGTTGTTCTCGACTTTGATTTGGCATAGGAGAAGAAATACTTTGGGTTTCTTTCGATTTCATTTATGGCTTTTAGTTCTTCCCGCGATTCCTGACTCCTATAAGATTCCTTTAGCTTAAGTTCGATGCTTGCTATTTCTCTGACCAGTGTCTCCCTACGCATTTCAGATATATTGACCTCTTTTAGCCGCTCTGTTATTCTTTTCCGTCGCCTGTAAAGGGAGCGCCTGTCTCTTTCTATTTTACATCTACTCCTTTTTCTTAGAGGAATAAGCCTTGTGCATACATCGAGTGCCACCAAGTTAATCTGTTCTAGGCATAAGTTGGGGTCTGTGTTGCTTAGTATATCTTCCCAGCTTATATCAGTTAGGACTTGGTTTACTTGGTCCCACTTTATGTTTTTGTTATTGAAGTTGAATTTGGTGAATGCTCCCTCGTGACTAGTCTCATTATGTCGGTCTGGGGCTCCACGCATACATGTCTGAACCTCAATTATGTTGTGATCTGAGTATATTGTTTTTGATATATATATATATATATATATATATATATATATAATATATATATATATATATGTCGTGCCGAATAGGCAGAACTTGCTATCTTGGCTTAAATAGCAACGTTCATCTTGCCATATAGGACAAGTGAAAATTTGTGTATGCAATAATTTCACCAAAATCATTCTGAACCTAACGAAAAAAATATATTTCACTGTGTTTGTTTAGTATTAAATTATTGTAAACAAATCTAAAATATATTTAGTTGGGTTAGGCTAAAATAAATTGTTCTTGTTATAATAAGGTTAGGTAAGTTTTCTAAGTTCCTTTTATTGCAAAATTATAAATTTTTACATCAATATTAATGAAAAAAATATATCTTTAAACGTATAAGAGAAAATTTCAGAAAGGACTTAATTTTAAATGAGTTCTTGCTAATTGACCAGTTTTACATATTCGGCACGACATAATAATATATATATATATAATAATATCTATATATATTATATAATATATATAATATATATTAATATATATATATATAAAATAATGTCGTGCCGAATATGTAAAACTGGTCAATTAGCAAGAACTCATTTAAAATTAAGTCCTTGCTAAAATTTTCTCTTATACGTTTAAAGATATATTTTTTTCATTAATGTTAATGTAAAAATATATAATTTTGCACCAAAAGGAACTTAGAAAACTTACCTAACCTTATTATAACAAGAACAATTTATTTTAGCCTAACCCAACAAATTATATTTTAGATTTGTTTACAGTAATTTATTACTAAACAAACACAGTGAAATATATTTTTTTCGTTAGGTTCAGAATGATTTTGGATAATTATTGCATACACAAATTTTCACTTGTCCTATATGGCAAGATGAGCGTTGCTATTTAAGCCAAGATCGCAAGATCTACCTATTCGGCACGACATATATATATATATAATATATATATATATATAAATATATATATATATATATATATATATATAAATATATATATATATATATATATAATTATTAACACATGGGCCGTCTCCCACCAAGGCAGGGTGGCCCGAAAAAGAAAAACTTTCATCATTCACTTCATCACTGTCTTGCCAGAGGCGTACTTACACTACAGTTATAAAACTGCAACATTAACTCCTCTCCTTCCTCAGCTTCCTTCGTCGCTGCGGCCAGGGAAGTAGTACTGGATTCTGTGTTACTGTAGCCTCCTCTGGACGAGGCTGCTGCTCTGTGGTGAAGGCTCTGTTTGACGTTGGAAACTTGACAACTGGGATTTTCCATGATGCCTTGGTCCGGCGGAGCCTCTACATCTACGAGCAGTGCAGCAGCGCTGTGTAGCCCTTGTGGTTTAGCGCTTCTTTTTTATAATAATAATCTACGAGCAGTGCAGGTTCCAGGCATGATGCTTCTTACCGCTATTCAGACACCGAGATTCTGTAGCCTCTCCTCTTTTTAGTTCATCCAGGTAGTTCTTGGTCGGGCGCTGAGGTGATTGTATCTCTGGCACCTGAAGGACCTCAAAAGTTATGGGTTATATATCATAACTTGGTATTTTCCCCAGCAACCGAGATCCAGTTTAGCTGGGAGAGGTCTTCTGTGTTGGACCAAGACCTGCCTCGTTGCTACGTTGCCGCCCTTCTTGGCTCAGAGTCCCTTAGCTTTCGGGATGTCTTCGTTACTGTGGATTGCATCAAGAGGCATGTCTAGTGGATAGCACATTAAAATACCTTTCGTCGCTCACTCTATGGATTTTAGCTCAGTGGCAACGAGTGGTGATTTGAGATCGTTCACCTACAGAAGTAGTTCACAGGATGTTATGTTTCGGGAGTGAGAATGAACTCTCCTTGCAGGTTTGTGGATACTGATATCTTCAGGCCGTATTTTCTCCCAGGTAAATTATAGCAGCATACGGGCTGTCATGGTGTCCTTTGTTGATGTGTCTGAATTTGTTGTATGCGGATGTTTTAGCTTGAGTGATCTGCAAGGAAACACTGTACCTCCTCTTGGACTTTGAAGATCGTACTTTCTGCCAACCTTCGTTGGAATGGGCATTTCTTCATTCATACCTGTCTCACTGGCCAGGCTGGTTTCACTGGCCTCGCTGTTCCATGAGTCCAGTGAGTGGTCTTGCAGATTCTTCGCCAGAACTTCGCCCCACATTTCTAAATCTGAGTCCTCAGTTCTGTCCTTGGAACATCGTGTCCTCTTCCTCTCGGAAGAAACTATGTACTTCTGTATGTCTGTCTGGTGATTCTCTCTAGCAAGAGTCAGGTGGAAAGCATCCAGAGGGTGGTGGTGGTTGTAGTAGTAGTAGTATAGTTATGAGGAGATGGGTCTGATTTGCAAAGGACCTACCAATAACTTGTTACAGCTCTCCCCAGAGTGGGTAGTATCCTGTTGATTAGCAATTTGAATATAGTATAACTTCCGGATTACTTGGATATGTATCAAGAAGCATAAGGAGTTCAACAATTATTTTACAGCTATGTACATCACTATTAAGGCCTCACTTAGGTTATGCTGTTCAGTTTTGGTCGCCGTACTACTGAATGGACAGCATGACAAAATTTATCCACTGTATAAGGAATTTCCCATGTAAAGATAGACTGGGAACCTTGAACCTTCACCCTCTAACAAAACATATGTGACGGGGAAACAGTGAGATCTCTAGATATTAAGATCATGGCGCACAGGAACGCCTGCAGTCGTGATGACCATAAAAACGCGATGTTGGACACCTCGTGAAATTCAGTGAAGATAAACTATACCACGGGCGGGGACTGAACCCGCGATCAAAGACCCATAAAACTCCAGACCGATGCGCTAGCCACTGTGAAGATAGATTGGTTGTCAAGGAAGATTTATGACAGTGAAAGTGTTTAGAGGTTGCTCTAACTGCTGTCAGTAACACTATCGAAAGTCCTGAAGCTGTTCAACAGATTATGTGTTGAGTTCTTACCTTGGAAGCATAATGTGGGTGCTCGTTCAACATGGCCCAGAAGATGGTCGTACCCATACTGAAACCCACGTAATAAAGATCCTTATTGTATGTTACATTCAATATGTAGTCTATAGCTGCTGGTACATCATACTTCGCCATTTCAGTCCAGCTGCAAGGTACACAACACATAAGAAAGGAGGAACACTGCAGCTGGTCTACTGGCCCATACTGGGCAGGTTCTTCTCAAACCCAAACCCCACTAACAAACATATTTGCACAACCCATTTTCAATGTCACCCTATAAACCCTATTTACTCATATGCAAGTCTCACTCAAATTAAACCTCTCACTCGTGTATTAATCTAACATAAATTTGAATAAAACACATCAGATAATGCAGTTTTTACCCGACTTGTTCCTATCTATGCATTTATTTCTCACCTGTCTTTCCAATTGATTTCTCATTTTTTATGCAGATGGTTTCTTCCTCATCTATTGACGTAGTTTCTCACTTTTCACGAGAAATGTTCCTACGAAAAGTTTAATGTTCTTAGGAAGCAAAATTACTTCTCACAGCCTTACACTGACAAAACTAATTATTGACAAATTACTAGACTTGATATAATAAAATCCTTAGAGAAAATTAATATTAAGAAATCATTGAAAGAAGATAAGGAGCCAGAAGCTATTGTTTACCAACGGTGGCCCGTGGCCTGGTAGTTAAAACTCTCGCTTCACACAGTGAGAGTCTGGGCTCGATTCCCGATGAGGGTAGAAGCATTGGGTGTGTTTCTTCACAGAAATCAGTATTAGAACTCACCACATAATACAGGATATAAACAACCACTATTTAAACCTAAAAGATGAATGATCACGTTGACCCTGATCTAAACCTCCATAATCTAACACACAATCAAAACTTATTGGAAAGTAACTGCCTTTATTACACAGCATCACAAGCCAGCACTATCCTGAACACTGCTCAAAGTCTATCAGTTCTTAACTACAACATCAGGTCCTTAAGCAAACACTATGATGACCTCCTGGCACTCCTTGAGTCGCTAAAGACACCCTTCTCCTGCATTATTCTTACTGAGACCTGGCTTAAGCAGGATACACAGGATACACAGCAATCCACAACTGCAGACCATACCAAGTTGGGGGTGGTACTGCAGTCTATTACTCTAACCAACTATCTGTATTAGCACTAATTGCTTTAGTGATGAATATGGGGAATACATTTTTGCTAATTTTACTGTAAAAAACCTCAAGACGCCTATAACAATCGGTGCCATATACCGGATACCCCACACAAACATCCCAAACTTCAGTGAGAATCTAAAGTCACTAATAACAAACAGACAAATGAACAAGCACCACCTTCTCTTAGCTGGAGACTTCAACATCAACCTTGGCCTACCAGATGATCAGACTGTAACTGATTTCATCAACAATATGAACAACACACTTCTCATACCAACAATAACTAAACCAACCAGACTGACTGAGACAAGTGCAACCATAATAGACCACATATGGACCAATATACTAGCCCCCTTAAATCAGGGATAATCACAGACAGCACTACTGACCACTACCCTACCTTCCTCTTAACAAACATTAGTAAGCCACCACTCGAATACAACAAAGTTTCATTTAGACTCCATGACGAGGCCTCAATAAGGAATTTCACAGCAGACCTAGAGACTGTTGACTGGCCTACAGAATTCTCCAATGCCAATGGTATTGACGATTGGACAGACATTTTTCTTAACAAAATACTTAGACTATACAACAAACATTGTCCTATAAAAACGAAACAGATCACGAATAAACGGCTTGGTTGCCCATGGCTAACCAGCAGCATTCTGAAATCCATTGATAAGAAACACCAATATGAAAAGCAATATAGACAGGGCTTAATACACAAAGATATTCTCAAACAATATTCAACAGTTCTCACCAAACTAATAAAGAAAGCCAAACAACTGTACTACTCCAGCAGATTCACTGACACAAAAGGAGATATAAAAAAGACCTGGAAAATACTTTCCCAGATTCTGGGGACCCACAAACTGAAAAAACCAAGAATATTGTTCTAACTAAACCTCATAAAACACCACTGCATCCCACTGATACAGCTAACAAGATAAACGACTTCTTCTCAAACTTAGGATCTAATCTCGCCAGTAAAATCCCACGTACCAATGCCCGTGCCGGGGACTACCTAGATGGGAATTTCCCAAATTCCTTCTATCTTGCACCAACTGAGCCTACGGAAGTCACCGCGATCATGAAGTCACTTATAAATAACTCGGGGAATCTATCTCACGTCCCACCATTACTGTACAAGCGAGCGGCCCATGTCCTGTCGCATGCTATTACATTACTTTTTAACAAGCCACTAGAAACTAGCACTTTCCCGACACTACTCAAGGCAGCAAGGGTTACACCAATACATAAAGGTGGTGACCCTACAGACGTAAACAACTATAGGCCAATATCAAACTTACCATTGCTATCCAAAATCTTCGAGAAACTCGTGCACAGGAGACTATATTCATTTATAACGTCACAAAACATACTCAACCCCTGCCAATTTGGATTCAGGAAAAATAAAAGCACTAATGATGCAATTATAAAAATGCTAGACCTGCTTTACACAGCATTGGAAAAAAAAAGGAAAATCCACTAGGAATTTTTATTGACCTAAGAAAAGCGTTTGACACAGTAGACCACGGCATCCTACTCCACAAACTTGACCACTATGGTATAAGAGGCCATGCGCTTGCATATTTTAAATCTTACCTTTCTAATAGGTATCAGTATGTCACCATTAAAGACACAGCCTCATCAATACGGCCACTTGATACTGGAGTTCTGCAGGGAAGTGTCCTTGGACCCCTGCTCTTCCTCATTTACATCAATGATCTTCCAAACATATCCCAACACCTGAAACCCATTCTCTTTGCTGACGACACGACTTATGTCATCTCCCACCCTAATCTTGCCACCCTCAACACCATTGTTAACGAGGAGCTGCTCAAAATATCGACTTGGATGACAGCCAATAAACTTACACTTAACACTGTCAAAACCTACTGTATTATGTTTGGTAACAGAGCAGGTGTTGCACAACTTAACATTAAGATCGACAACACTAATTGCCAGACATAATGAGGGCAAATTCCTTGGCCTATACCTCGATAACAACCTAAATTTCAGCACCCATATCCAACACATAACAAAAAAAGTATCCAAAACGGTGGGGATCCTCTCCAAGATACGATACTACGTGCCGCAAACTGCCCTTCTCACAATATACCATTCACTTATATATCCATACCTCACCTATGCTATCTGTGCTTGGGGTTCAACTGCAGCAACACACCTAAAGCCAATAATAACCCAACAAAAAGCCGCAGTAAGAATAATCACTAAATCCCATCCTTGGCAACACCCCCCCCCCCCACTCTTCATAGATCTAAACTTACTCCCTGTTCAGAACATCCACACTTACTACTGTGCAATCTATATCTACAGGACCTTAAATTCCAATATTAACCTTGACCTAAAACGATTTCTTGATAGTTGTGACAGGATCCACAGTCATAACACCAGACACAAACATCTCTATGACATTCCCCGTGTCCGACTAAACCTTTAGAAAATTTCAATGTATTTCAAAGGACCTAAAATCTGGAACACCCTACGTGAAAACTCTAGAACTGCAGACACATTCATCACTTTCAAAACTACAGTTAAAAAACATCTTATCTCCCTGATCCACCCCGACAACTAACTACATGATAACCACCTGGTGGTTCACAATTACACTCACTCACCCACTGACCATAAACCCAGAAATACTAATCTTAATCTAAAAATAATAAATCCTAACTAGTCATAAGTTTGCCTATAATACTCCAATATAGACACCTTGTATTGTGCCAAAACAAAAGCATTCACATTGCTAAACTCACAAATTATGATGTAGTCACTTAGCCTTAATACCATCATCTGTAACGATTTAATGTTAAGAATTAATCTAAGTCTTCCCGGAATGCCTAGCCATGCTAGGTGTCCTAGTGGCCCCCTCTGTAATTAGTATTTTATAACATGTAAACCACACAATACCCAAAAACCTGTAAACCCCACATTGTAACCCTTATAGAGAATAAACTTGAATTGAATTGAACTGAATCAGTAAAATGGGTACCTGGGTGTTAGTGGACTGGTGTGGGTGGCATCCTGGGACAAAACTGACCTAATTTGCCCGAAATATCCAGCATAACAAGTGGCATTCTATATAGTAGTATGTTATTGATGTCAGCTATGGTCTGTATACCTTGTACATGTTCTTGTAGAAATAAAGATTATTATTATTATTTATTTATTATTATTATTATTATTATTATTTATTATTATTATTATTATAACAATATACTCTACTCTTATGAACGAAAAGGCAATTTCAAATTTTTTTTCTTTCTGTCCCGTCTCTATCTCCTATATATCCTGGCTCCTTCACCTTCGTATATTAGTGTGACTTGTCAATAACCTGGAGAGAGAGAGAGTTCCGGGGGTCAACGCCCCCGCGGCCCGGTCTGTGTGCGGATTATTTATGTAATGGATTTAAAAGTGTTGATAAAGACTGCAAACAAATTACATAATATTATCCAGTGTAAAAAAAAAAACTAATATTTCTTACCTAAACTGCCAGAAATGTTTGTGTTGTGGGGAGAGAGTGAGGTGTTTCCTGGAATAAGTGTTGCCACGAGCGTTGGTCATCCAGACGTCATAACCAGCGTCAGCCAGGACATAACCTGTCACAAGCAACAACACCAGTCTAACTCATTATAGTCATTTACCCTTAATAAACCAGCTAGAGATGACTTGAAGTGTCACGTCAGTTTCACCTGGTTTCTAATGTCATGTTTATTTTTTTTCCTCTATAATCTACTTGGTCCGTAATTACTGTAGTATTTGTTTTGTTTGTTTCGTAAGGTGAGGTTCAGGATCTTGACTACTCAAGTAAGCTTCCTTGATGATTGGTGTGACTCATTGTTTAAAATTTGTTTGCAACCAGTTCCCAAATTAATGTGCTTGCACACCAACGTTCTTAAAATTTGTGTTGCGACACACTTCCCATTTGATTGCAAACAATTAAAGATTGATCTTGACTAATTTCAGATTGTGTGACTAACAAATTTCTAGACACTTGTGTTGCAACACAATTGTCCTCAAAAATTTGTGTTGCAACACAGTCATCAAAAAATTGTGTTGCAACACAACTGTTCTTAAAGATTTGTGTTGCGACACAACTGTCCTCAAAGATTTGTGTTGCAACACAACTGTCCTCAAAGATTTGTGTTGCAACACAACTGTCCTCAAAAATTTGTGTTGCAACACAATGTCCTCAAAAATTTGTGTTGCAACACAACTGTCCTCAAAAGATTTGTGTTGCGACACAATTGTCCTCAAAAATTTGTGTTGCAACACAACTGTCCTCAAAAATTTGTGTTGCAACACAACTGTCCTCAAAAATTTGTGTTGCAACACAACTGTCCTCAAAGATTTGTGTTGCGACACAATTGTCCTCAAAAATTTGTGTTGCAACACAAGTGTCCTCAAAAATTTGTGTTGCAACACAACTGTCCTAAAAAATTTTGTTTTTGGCGACACAAGTGTCCTCAAAAATTTGTGTTGCAACACAAGTGTCCTCAAAAATTGTGTTGCAACACAAGTGTCCTCAAAAATTTGTGTTGCAAAAAACAAGTGTCCTCAAAAATTTGTGTTGCAACACAATTTTCCTCAAAAATTTTGTTGCAACACAAGTGTCCTCAAAAATTTGTGTTGCAACACAACTGTCCTCAAAATTTGTGTTGCGACACAACTGTCCTCAAAATTTGTTTGCAACACAACTGTCCTCAAAAAATTTGTGTTGCGACACAACTGTCCTCAAAAATTTGTGTTGCAACACAACTGTCCTCAAAAATTTGTGTTGCGACACAACTGTCCTCAAAAATTTGTGTTGCAACACAAGTGTCCTCAAAAATTTGTGTTGCGACACAATTGTCCTCAAAAATTTGTGTTGCGACACAATTGTCTTCAAAAATTTGTGTTGCAACACAAATGTCCTCAAAAATTTGTTAAGTTATACCATGAATTAAGTCAAGATCCTGAACTTCACCTCACGACACAAAGCAAATGTGATGGTAATTATGGACAAGGTACATTATAGTGGACAAATAAACATGACATTAGAAAACATGTGAACTGACGTGATCCTTAAAGTCATTTCTAGTGTAGTTTATTAAAGGTAAATGTTGAAAAATATATAAAATACCGACAAGCAGATGTTTAAGACACACGTGCAAAAGTTGGGTATCTAAATTCAGAAATGTTTCACTTACACAGCAGGCGTCTTCAGTCAAATACCAAGGGCGCAGTAGTAGTGAACTAAAGATATGTAATCAGTCCATCAACCTTGAAAAAAAACAGTATCTGAAGTGGTCAGTCCCTCAACCTGGAGAAGAAGACTCCAGCTGAACTCTGTCCCAGACTGAGGGACTGACCACCTCCAATACTGTTTAAGAACATAAGAATGTAGGAACACTGCAGAAGGCCTACTGGCCCATACGAGGCAGGTCCTCATCAAAACGACATCTACCTAAAGCTACTCAAGAAATAACTCCCGTACCCCTTGGCACCAATCAAACCCAGCCCCTCCCACTCATATATTTGTCCAGTCTCTTCTTAAAGCTACCCAGCTTCTCCAAGGTTGGGGGACTGATTACATCATTACACAACTGCACCTGCCTCCTCTGTACTCGACTGAAGAAGACTTTCTATACTACCTCAAACTACTGTTCAACAAAATATTTCTATATATATATGCAAAAAATTAATTAGAATATTTAATCTTATTATAAAATTTTGATTCAGAATTTCTAGTTGTCTTTAAAACTTAAATTGTTCTATGTACAAGAACCTTGTCTGAGGGGTTCTGCCTATCAGGAACCTTGTCTGAGGGGTTCTGCCTATCAGGAAGCTTGTCTGAGGGGTTCTGCCTATCAGGAAGCTTGTCTGAGGGGTTCTGCCTATCAGGAACCTTGTCTGAGGGGTTCTGCCTATCAGGAACCTTGTCTGAGGGGTTCTGCCTATCAGGAACCTTGTCTGAGGTGTTCTGCCTATCAGGAAGCTTGTCTGAGGGGTTCTGCCTATCAGGAACCTTGTCTGAGGGGTTCTGCCTATCAGGAACCTTGTCTGAGGGGTTCTGCCTATCAGGAACCTTGTATGAGGGGTTCTGCCTATCAGGAACCTTGTCTGAGGGGTTCTGCCTATCAGGAACCTTGTCTGAGGGGTTCTGCCTATCAGGAACCTTGTCTGAGGGGTTCTGCCAATCAAGAACCTAGTCTGAGGGGTTCTGCCTATCAGGAACCTTCTCTGAGGGGTTCTGCCTATCAAGAAACTTGTCTGAGGGGTTCTGCTATCAGGAAACCTTGTCTGAGGGTTCTGCCTATCAGGAACCTTGTCTGAGGGGGTTTTGCCTATCAGGAACCTTGTCTGAGGGGTTCTGCCTATCAGAACCTTGTTTTGAGGTTCTGCCTATCAGGAACCTTGTCTGAGGGGTTCTGCCTATCAGAAACCTTGTCTGAGGGGTTCTGCCTATCAGGAACCTTGTCTGAGGGGTTCTGCCTATCATGACCCTTGTCTGAGGGGTTCTGCCTATCAGGAACCTTGTCTGAGGGGTTCTGCCTATCAGGAACCTTGTCTGAGGGGTTCTGCCTATCAGGAACCTTGTCTGAGGGGTTCTACCTATCAGGAACTTTGAGGGGTTCTGCCTATCAGGAACCTTGTCTGAGGGGTTCTGCCTATCAGATCCTTTGTCTGAGGGGTTCTGCCTATCAGGAACCTTGTCTGAGGGGTTCTGCCTATCAGGAACCTTGTCTGAGGGGTTCTGCCTATCAGGAACCTTGTCTGAGGGGTTCTGCCTATCAGGAACTTTGAGTGGTTCTGCCTATCAGGAACCTTGTCTGAGGGGTTCTGCCTATCAGGAACCTTGTCTGAGGGGTTCTGCCTATCAGGAACCTTGTCTGAGGGGTTCTGCCTATCAGGAACCTTGTCTGAGGGGTTCTGCCTATCAGGAACCTTGTCTGAGGGGTTCTGCCTATCAGGAACTTTGAGTGGTTCTGCCTATCAGGAACCTTTTTAGGGTTCGCCCATTTAGGAAAAATTTGATGGTTGCCCATAGGAAACCCTTTTCGAGGTTTTGCCTATCAGGAAACCCTTTTCTGAGGGGTTTGCCTATCAGGGAAACCTTCTGAGGGGTTTTGGCCCATCAGGGAACTTGTCTGAGGGGTTTTCCCATCAGGGAAATTGTCTGAGGGGGTTTTGCCTACAGGAACCTTTTGGGGGGCCTACAGGGAAATTGTTAGGGGGGCTCCCACAAAACCTTTTCTGGGGGTTTCCTATCAAACCTTTGTTTGAGGGGTTTTGCCCTTTAAACCTTTTTCTGAGGGGTTCTGCCACAGAACTTTGTCTGAGGGGGTTCTCCTATCAGGGAAACCCTTTTCTGAGGGTTTGCCTATCAGGAACCTTTTTTTGGGGGGCTGCCTACAGGAACTTTGAGGGTTTCCTTCGGAACCTTTGAGGGGGTTTTGCCTATCAGGACCTTTTTGAGGGGTTCTCCTTCGGGAAATTTGAGGGGTTTGCCCATCAGGAACCTTTCTGAGGGGTTCCTCCTACAAACCTTGTCTGAGGGGTTCGCCTATCAGGAACCTTGTCTGAGGGTTTTCCCCATCAGGAACCTTTTCTGAGGGGTTTTGCCTATCAGGGAAATTGTTGGGGGTCGCCTACAGGAACCTTGTCTGAGGGGGTTCTGCCCACAGGAACCTTGTCTGAGGGGTTTCCTTAGAACCTTGTCTGAGGGGTTTTGCATCAGAACTTGTCTGAGGGGGTTCCCCATCAGGGAAACCCTTTCTGAGGGGGTTTTTTCCTACAGGGAACCCTTTTCTAGGGGTTTGCCCATCAGGGAAACCTTGTTGAGGGGGCTGCTTCAGGAACCTTGCCCGAGGGGGTTTTGCCTACAGGAACCTTTTCGAGGGGTTCGCCCACAGGAACCTTGTTGAGGGGTTTTTCTTCAGGGAACTTGTTGAGGGGGTTTCCCATCAGAAAATTTTTGAGGGGGTTTTGCCTATCGGAACCTTGTCTGAAAGGGTTTTCCCTTTGGAACCTTTTTCTAGGGTTCTGCCCATCAGGGCCCCCGTCGGGGGGGTTCGCCTATCAGGGAAATTTTGGGGGTTCTCCTATCAGGAAAAATTGTCTGAGGGGGTTTTCCTACAGGAACCTTGTCTGAGGGGTTCTCCTATCAGGAACTTTCTAGGGGTTCTGCCTACGAACCTTGTCTGGGGGTTCCCTTCAGGACCTTTTTCTGAGGGGTTCTGCCTATCAGGAACCTTTTTGAGGGTTTTTGCCATCAGAACCCCTTTGAGGGGTTTCCTTTCAGGAACCCCGTTGAGGGGTTTCTGCCCATAGGAACCTTTTTCTGAGGGTTCTGCCCTTTTAGGGAAAATTTTTCTGGGGTTTCCTATCAGGGAACTTTTGAGGGGTTTTTTGCCCCATCAAGAAACCCTTTTCTAGGGGTTTTCCTATCAGGAACCTTTCTGAGGGGGTTTGCCACAGGGAAACCCTTTCTGAGGGGGGTTTGCCTTCAGAACCTTTTTTCTGAGGGGGTTTTGCCTATCAGAACCTTTTCTGAGGGGGTTTTCCCCCTCGAACCTTGTCGAGGGGGGCCTAAACAAACCTTGTTAGGGGGTTTTCC